AAGCGGGGAGAAAAGTGCGTGGCAAATAATCTGTCAAAAAGCCGGAGCGAGATCGATACGTCGTGTTAAATTTTAAATGTGTTTGCTGGCAGTTAAACTGCTCTCGACTCATTACAACAACAGTGCTGGATTTATTCTAATGCGCTGCAGTCTGAACAACAAGCGCATTAATTCTCTTTTAATTGTAAACTGGGAGCATTTGAAAACCATTCAGTGTGCAAATTATGCTGATTCAATTACCGTTTAGTTACAGACTTCATTACCTGAATGCTTTTTTTTTTTTTCTTTTCTTTTCCAAGGGTTTGGCATTGCAGAGTAAAGGCGATGGTTTTCCAGTTTCGCTTGAAACAATGCGAAATACGATACAAAAAAAAAATCGGGAATAAAAGGCAGCCTAGGGGGAGGGGATGCACTTTTTGGCTGGGCTGTGTCTTCTGCCAAAAAACTCGGGTGTGGGTGTGTGTGTGTGTGTGTATCCAGAGGATTTCCCCGTCTATTCCGATTCTTCTTTCTAAGTCCATACTTCACGTTTATGCCAATCTCTCCCTATTCTCTGGATTTAGGGAGTGACTGTGAAAGTTTGCGTTAGGCCATCGCGTGATAACAAACTGTTCATCAGCATCGAAGCGTGAAGTTTTGATTAAAGCTCTGATGCGGTGCCACAAGCCAGCGAGGCACCGCACGTTGTTGTGTGTGCGCGTCGCTCGGTGGGGACTAGAGCAGATTCAATTAGGAATTAAATTTTCAGTATCCAACCTGTTAGGAAGGGTACATGAAACGGCAGCACAACCAGCTTCCTATGGAGGAGGTTAAAAAATCCGTTTTGAGAGGGGTTAATAATACAGGGGAGAGGGAAAACAGCCTGTTTCCCCTCCGCCCGAACCAGGGGGATTCAGGGACAGTGAACAGCCGCAGCGAGGACCGGCTTTGCCGGGATCACCCCGGCTTGAAGAGACTTCAGCTCACCACTTAGGCACTCCTTACCCGGAGTAGCGCGTACGGAACTAAAAACAGCCGGAGTTTTGCGTTGCGTGCTGCTAGGGTAAGGATCCCTCCCCCCTCAGCCTCCCCACCCCCGGTGGCTTTTAAAATTAGGATACACACCGGAGCTGAGTGGCAGCGCGTTTTAACTCCGCGCGGAATTTAAGCAGCGCAAGAGCAAATTTTTTCACAGAGACATATGCCATCCAGCCTTGCTGCCTGAAATTTATAGAGGTCACAGCCGACCAGAACGAGAAGGAATTTTGCTGGGGTGAAGATGGTTCGCCTTATTATGTTTATTGATAAGCACATCAGTTAGCCTCTGCAAGACATACATTTTCGCCTTGTTGCGAGCTGTGCAGTGTTTTGAAAATGTTATGTTTGATTTGCAGTGGAAGTGCATTTCCTTTGGCCTAAACGGATAACTTCGTACTTATTTGGCAGAATTAGGAGCTAACCTTTAAAAGCTTGCCGTTATTTTGTTTCTTCAGATTTAGAGAGCTGCAGAAAGTGTTCAAACAGCTCCACTCGGTCTTACTCACCACGAGACTTCACTTCACCGCCGTTCTTTTGAAAGCATCTTAGTCCTATTCTAATGGATAATGTTTTCTTAACTATCAGTGCTATGCCGACCTCAAAACCGTCATTAAGGAGACACGTAAATATTAAGAAAGAAAAAAGCACCCGGCGATCGTAGACCCTTCTTAGGTTTGAGCTCTGTCTGTTTGTAGAGACACCGGGGTTTTACACCACTCCCTTCATGGAAAGCTTCTCGTTTAATTCCTGCCTAGTTGCCGGTGAATTTCCAGTCCGACACCACAGGACAATAAAACGCCAGGCTGTTTCCTTTCCTTTCTTTCCTTTTTTTTTTTTTTCTTTTTTTTTTTTTTCCCTGGGTGGAAGCAACATGCTGTAGAAGCGCCTACAAAACGCGCGGGCTGCTGGCAAAAGGCGGCAAGGATCCTAACTAGTTATTTCTCAGTGGGACAGGTCAAGGATGGCCCAAAAGGAGGAGGCGGATCGTTTCCGTACCGGCTGCTAAGGAGGAGACCCTTCGTGCGGCTGGGGACCGGTAGCTCCCGGCGGCGGC